GGCGCCTCCGCGGATTCGCGGACGGGTAGCACTTCGGCGCCCGATTCGAATCGGTTCAATATCGCTTTGATTTATTAATTAATTGGGCGCCAGACGCGTTTCCGCGTCGCGATAAGGAACTTTAACGCGAGAGACTCGAACCGGCGGCGGAACGGCTCGGTAGCTCAGTATCCGTGCGCGATGGTAGAGTGGCGTGATTCTTACAGGGTAAGGAGGCTAGACGCGGAGGCGGATTTGAGGAAATATCCCGGGGTAATTCGTAAGAGACCTCGACTCAGCAGTATTCGTTAAAAGTAGCGCTGTTTATTTAAATCTAATTAATCTAGGTGATGAACAGTATGACCCCGTACCGACAACCAGTTCGCTTGTTACTGCTTAGCGACTGACCGATGTCCGAAAATCGCGTGATTCTAATCCCGTAAACGGGAGCGAATGCCAATTCCTAAGCGCAATACAGTCGTCGATTTCCGGAATGATACGCGACGCAATTATCTATACGCAACTCTAATAACTAACGAAACGCGACGCAATTATCCTAACGCAATATAACGCGACGAAACGCAAATATTCTAAACGCACGGAAACTAACGCAATTAAACTAAACGCGACGCGACTTATTCTTACGCACGAATCGATTCTGTATCGACGACCGTCTAGAGAGAGAAGGCAAGAACTATTGCGACAAACTACGAAATGTCCGGTACGACAAACATGCACTTTCCGATCTGCTCCCGCGAAAATGAGACTTCGAAATCGAGACGTGGGTGGGCACAATATTTGCAACGCTTTCGCGAGACTAAGAAACTAAATTGTGGCTTACGCGGTACCAATCCCCCAGGTCTGATTCAGTGACCTGCCGAGCGTGGCTTATAGGAAGATCGAAAAGCGATCTTCCTATTTCACGATACTTCCGGAACTTCCCAAATTACTTAATCTAATTACTAACTAACGCTTAATGCCGACACTCCGGCCACATTTTGCAGAATCGGCCGGGGATTGGCACGCCCGGTGGTCGACAACCCACGGTACGTTATTCTCGATTTCGAATTCTGTACAACGATAAAAGCTCTTTACAACGTTATACGATGGGGGGCTTACCGAGATGTCCTTTACGGCGGCTGAGCAGGCGGCAGCGTAAGGTCTTGTACTCGAAACGTCTGATTTCGAAAAAAAAGAGCATTAGTCGTGGAAAATGCCGAATACAGAATGCTAAACCGCGTGCCCTTATGCCGGTATTCGGACACCTCGTGATCACCCCCACCTTAGGCCGAAGTTTCCGTCTTCTCGCGAAGGCATCTTCGGCAGGACCTCCTCTTGCTCCGCGACCTTTCTTTCTCTATCGCAGGTCCTTAGCGGGGAAGCGGCAGGGTAGCGGAACCTTCCTTAGGCGTACGTCGCTCTCTCGCGGACCTTCCTCCCCTTACTCCGCTACCTCTTTTGGTCTATTGCTGGATCTGAGCGGGGTAGCAGCAGGGTAGCGGTGCG